TTAGTGTGCAAGAGCTGTTTAGATGTTTCTTTTTTTTTTTCACCTTTTTTTTTTCCCAGTCCTGGGGCTTGAACTCAGGGCCTGGGCACTGTCCCTGAGCTTCTTTTGCTCAAGGCTAGAGCTCTACCACTTGAGCCACAATGCCACTTCCAGCTTTTTCTGTGTATTTGATACTGAGTAAATCAAACTCAGGGTTTCATGCATGCTAGGCAAGCAGTCCACCACTAAGTTACATTCCCATTCCAGTGTTTCTTATCTTTTTTTTTTTTTTTTTGCATGTGCTGTTCCTGGGGCTTGAACCCAGGACCTGAATGTTGTTTCTGAGCTTTTTTTTGCTCAAGGCTAGTGCTCTACCACTTTGATCCACAGCACTAGTTCTAGTTTTCTGGTGGGTAATTGGAGATAAAAGTCTCATGGAGTTTCTAGTCCGAACTGGCTGTGTACTGTGATCCTCAGATCTCAGCCTCCTGAGTAGCTAGGATTATAGGCATGAGCCACTGGTGCCAGACTAAGATCATGTTCTTATGGGGTTAGGCATGGAACTTTCCTAAACTTGAGTCATTTGTAAGTAGGAGAGCCCCACGACCGACAAAAAAAAAAAAAAAACTATATGTAAGTGGGAGAAAGTGAGGAAACTGTTATTATCTATTCTCAATGCCTCTAGGCAGCCTTTCCAGTCACCAGGAATACCTGGATCTATTCAACAGCTATGCCAGAATCCCATTCAATCTGCAGGCAGATTCTAAATTGTCTGCAGGTGTCTAAATCTGCGACAATTCTAAATATTGTGGCAACCTGGAATCTCTCTCTTTAAATACAGTACCAATCTTTATTAAAAATTAACAAGTTTCAGTATTTTTGTTTCAGGTTTCTATAGTTTATGTACATGCAAAATTTTTTCTTTCCTTCCTTCCTTCCTTCCTTCCTTCCTTCCTTCCTTCCTTCCTTCCTTCCTTTCTTTCTCTTTTTGTCAGCTGTGGGGCTTGAACTCTGGGCCTGGGTCCCGCCCGTGAGCTCTTCAGTTCAAGGTGAATGCTCTACTACTTGAGACACAGCGCCACTTCCGGTTTTCTGGTGGTTTATTGGAGATAAGAGTCTTATGGACTTTCCTGCCTGAGCTGGCTTTGAACTGTGATCCTCAGGGGCTGGGAAGGTGGCTCAGTGGTAGAGTGCTTGCCTTGCATGCCTGAGACCCTGCGTTCGACTCCTCAGCACCACATAAGCAAAAAGAAAAAAGCCGGAAATGGCGCTGTGGCTCAAGTGGTAGAGCGCTAGCCTTGAGCTGAAGAGCTGAGGGACAGCGCCCAGGCCCAGAGTTCAGGCCCCACGATCAGACCCCCCCCCTAAAAAAAAGAACTGTGATCCTCAGATCTCAGCCTCCTGAGTAGCTAGGATTACAGGTGTGAGCCACCCACACCTGATTCCAAAATGACTTCATAGTCTGCACTTATCCCATTTGCCCAGGGACCAACTGTGACCATTTGATTTAGATTCTGACCCTCAGGGCAATCTTTCTTTTTTTTTTGGGGGGGAGGTCTGGTTGTGGGGCCTTGAACTCTAGGCGTGGGCGCTGTGCCTGCGCTCTTCAGCTTAAGGTGAGCACTGTACCACTTGAGCCACAGCGCCACTTTTGTTTTTCTAGTGTTTTTTATTGGAGATAAGAGTCTCACCTAAATGTAAACTTTAAATGATATCTAATGAATATTTTCATTGCATATTTTAATAGTTATAATGAGTGTATGTAATTTCAAATAAAGCCATATCCAACCATCAAAAAAAAAAAAGTGTCTCACGAACTTTTCTGCCCAGGTTGGCTTTGAACCGTGATCCTCAGACTCAGCATCCTGGGATTACAGCTGGGATTACAGGTGTGAGTGACTGGTGCCCAGCTATTTTTTTTCCTTATTATTTTTATTATCTTTAAGTAGTTGTACAAAGGAGTTGCCATTCAACAAAGCAGTTTATGACTATGATGCAGCTTGATCAGTCATCCCTTTCAATATTCTCATCTGTCTGTCTCAACCCACCCCTTTCCTCATTTCTCTTCATTTTGTAGGACATACATTGAATTTTTTTTTTTTTGGAGGTCCGGTCGTGGGGCCTGAACTCTGGGCTGGGCGCTGTCCTTCAGCTCTTCGGCTCAAGGTTAGCGCTCTACCACTTGAGCCACAGGGCCACTTCTGGCTTTTTTCTTATGTGGTGCTGAGGAATCAAACCCAGGGCCTCAGGCATACAAAGCAAGTGCTCTACCACTGAGCCACCTTCCCAGCCCCATACATTGAATTTTTGACTTCAATCTCCTCCTTCTTCTCTTCATTCATCTACACCCCTCTCCTGGGTCCCACCCTACACATCTCAATTACCCATTTCCTGGTGTTAATTTTGTTGAACTATGATTTTACCTTTCTAAGGAATTATACCTAGGTCGGGTGCCGAGACTCACACCTGTAATCCTAGCTACTCAGGAGGCTGAGATCTGAGGATCACAATTCAAAGCCAGCCCCCGCAGGAAAGTCAGTGAGACTCTTATCTCCAATAAACCACTAGAAAACCAGAAGTGGTGCTGTGGCTCAAGTGGTAGAGTACTTGCCTTGAGCTGAAGAACGCAGGGACAGCACCCAAGCCCAGAGTTCAAGCCCCACGACTGACCAAAAAAAAAAAAAAGGAATTACACTGAGTTCTCCCCTGAATCTACTGTATTTGTATATACTTGCATACCATCCACAATATTTATTTATATATTTATAAATGAATTCTAGTTTCCACATATGTGAGGAAACATGTAATCTTTTTCTGGGCTTGACTTCACTTAATTTTTTTTTCCAGGTCCTTCCATTTCTTTGCAAATGATACATCATTCTTTCTAATGGTTGAGTACAATTCCACTGTGTGTGTGTATATATATATATATATATATATATATATATATATATCACATTTTCTTGATCCATTCATCCACTGAGGGGCATCTGGGTTGATTCCATACTTGGCTATGGTGAATAGTGCTGCAATGAACTGCTTAACATTTCTAAGGCAAACAGGAAATGCTTCAGTTTCCTGTTTTTGGTGATGTGGACTAACCGGTGTGATTAGCTTTTTTTCCTGGTTGATATAAGGCGTGTCCAAGGGTTGATGTAAGGGTCAGAGCTGAAAGTTTCAACCTGCAGACTAAGGTATAAGAGATAGTGGAAAAAAAGGAGCTGATAGCTGGATGCTAGTGGCCTTTAATTTTAGCTCCTCAGGAGGCTGAGATCTGAAGATAGAGGTTCAAAGCCAGCTCAAGCAGAAAAATCTCTGAGGCTTCTACCTCCAATTAACCAGAAAAAAGCCAGAAGTGGATTTGTGGCTTAAGTTGTAGAGTGCCAGCCTTGAGCAAAAATGGGGTCGTGCTAAGTTTTGAGTTCAAGCCCTTATACTTGCGAGAAGAAAAAAAATGTTAATCTGGCATCTGTGGCTCATGCCTGTAATCCTAGCTACTCAGGAGCCTGAGATCTGAGGATCACGCTTCAAAGCCAGCCCCAGCAGAAAAGTCCCTGAGACTCTTTATCTTCAATTAACCACCAGAAAACTGGAAGTGGCGTTGTGGCTCAAGTGGTAGAGGGCTCACCTTGAAAAAAAGAAAAAGAAGCCGGGTGCTGGCGGCTCACGCCTCTAATCCTAGCTACTCAGGAGGCTGAGATCTGAGGATCGCGGTTCAAAGCCAGCCCGGGCAGGAAAGACCGTGAGACTCCTATCTCCAATAAACCACCAGAAAACCGGAAGTGGCGCTGTAGCTCAAGTGGTAGAGCGCTCGCCTTGAGCTGAAGAGCTGAGGGACAGCGCCCAGGCCCAGAGTTCAGGCCCCACGACCGAGACGCCCCCCAAAAAAAAAGAAAATGAAAAAGTTATCCCCCTCCTTCTCCCCTCCCCGTCCTTCCTCCTCTCTCTCTCTCTTTCTTTCTCTCTCTCTCTTCCTTCCTTCCTTTCTTTCTTTTTTCCTTTCTTGTTAGATTTTCCTGCCCAGGGTGGCTTTGAATCTCGATCCTCAGATCTCAGCCTCCTGAGTAGCTAGGATTACAGGCATGAGCCACTGGTGCAGGGTTCTTCTTTTTTTTTTTTTGGTCGGTCGTGGGGCTTGAACTCTGGGCCTGGGCACTGTCCCTCAGCTCTTCAGCTCAAGGCTAGTGCTCTACTACTTGAGCCACAGCACCACTTCCGGCTTTTTCTGCTTATGTGGTGCTGAGGAATGGAACCCAGCTTCATGCATGCAAGGCAGGCACTCTACCACTGAGCCACCTTCCCAGCCCATGGCACCTGGTTCTTTTGCCACTATTAACTGTGAACATAGGGCCTGCTTCCATTCAGGACCCACTTTCCTGCTCTTCAGATACCCAGTTTTTGCCACCTCCAATTTTTTTCTTTCTAGGTGGTAGGAATGGGGTAGTAGACACAGAAACAGCTATGATAGGACAAACACACCTATGAGAGGCCATTCAGGGTAGGCATATGGGAGGGTGGGGAACATAAGGTTTGGGATAGGGTTTCAAAAGGCTAATTATAGGACGAGGGGGCACGAGAACTATCTCCTAAATAGCATAAGGAGTGGTCTCTTCAATAACACCATCTTGGCCCGGGAGTCTTTCACAGTATGTGGCTGGGGGACTAGGGTCGCCCGCTCAAGCTCTCAAAATGGACCCCGCCCCCCTTTCCAGCAAATCGTAGCCTTCCTCCCCATAATGCCTAGCAGCCACTGCCAAACTGCACGGGGCAACCGAACTCTATTTAACTCCACCTCTCCAACCGCCTCTCACAACTTCTAATTTTTATTGGCTGTTATAACTGTCACTCAGCGAATCCTCGTATCCGTTGGTTGTTTCCTATATACACGCCTCTTTTCCCTTGTAATCTTGCCTCTGTAGCCACTACCCGCCTCCAGGGGCCAGTTCTCTTTCTTCTATTGGATATCTGGAATGTCATTTATTACGAGACCACGCTGTGATTGGCTCTACGCGCCAGGGCTCGCGCAGTTACCAGGCAGCGAGGTAGACTGAGGCTAGGTACCACGTCAGTGAGCTGACAGGCAGGGTAGCCGGCTCTGCCGCGAGTCCGGGCCGACTCAATCCGGCCAGCAGTGCGTCCCCACCTTAACTTCAGCATCAATTTCCAGAAAAGCGGCTTCTCCCATCTGCCTTCAGAGCCAAGGAGCCTCTGGGAGACGTCTCCGGGGCCCAAGCTGGACATGAGCAGCGGCTGCCGGTCCTGGGACTAGGCCCCGCCATTTTGAATCCGCTGACAGGTCAGCGAAGTAGCTTCCTAGAATTCCAGCGTCGCGAAGGCCGCCCTGACATCGCGATAGGGAATGAGAGGGAAGCATCTTAAAGTTGAGCGGCGTGGGGATGGGGGGTTAGGGGCTCAGGACTCTGGGATTACACGGGGAGTATGGTGGGAGGGACCTAGGAGGCGTGCAGGGGGCAAAGGTCAGGCTTCAGCCGCCGGGGGTGGGGGGGGTGTCATTTCAGCTGATCTGTGATACTTTGCGGGTACCTGAAGCCTTCCTGTTTTCACAGGCCTAACAGCCGTCGGCTCCTCTTTTTCAGAGCTTCTTGGTTCCTAAAAAGCCTGGTCTTCAAAAGTCTTCAGAGCTTTTTAGCAAAACTAAAGGATCATTTTATGTATAATTTGAGGGGTTTTCAGACTTTAGGTAGGAGTCTCTCTAGGTTCTATAGCGTTTCCATTTATATGTGAGTACCTTGTTCATATCACTGATCTGCTTCAGAAATCCTGAATGATGAAACAGTACATCTTAGTCTCAGGTAGTCAGAAGAGTTGCGGCCCTCAGCCTGGGGAACTGGGATATGAGAAGGCTTTCCTTTTACAGGGTGGTTCATTTGGCATTCTGCATATGTGTGCAAACACTGTACTTATCTTCGGAGCTTGTTTCTTCCTTTATGCCATCTTTTAAAAGTATTCTTTTCTGGTGCCTGTTTTAGGTTGACATTTCCTCCCAGGTCTTATTTGATCGAAAGAGATGAGTCTTCACCAGGAAGACACTCTTAAGACACTTTTGACAAACAGCAAAGAGGGATTTGAATACTGTCAGAGGTTTGGTACTGGTAGCCTATTATTTAGCGTGTAAAAAAAGTTATGAGAGATGGTCTGCCAATCATGGAAGGGTCAGGGCAGCAGAGTAAATGATGGAGCATAACCATGAAGAGTGTAGTTTGTTGCACAGTGATGACCTTTGATAAATTGCTGTGTTGTAAAACCATAAAAGTACATCAAAGGTAAAGAATACTTTTAGAGATGAGGAGGGATAGTGTCATTTTTTAAATTCAAAACACAAACCTGTATGTTTTTAGGTATACAGTACATGCCCTCCTTTAGACCTTGGGGAGGATGTAAGTGGAAAGATCTACCTGGGCTTTGGTGGCTCATGCCTGTAATCCTAGCTGCTCAGGAGGCTGAGATCTGAGGATCGAAGTACAAAGCGAGCCTGGGCAGGAAAGTCTGAAAGACTCTTGTATCCACTTGGCCACCAGAAAGCTGGAAGTGGCGCTGTGACTTAAGTAGTAGAGTGCTAGCCTTGAGCAAAAGAGCTCAGGGACAGAGTGCCCAGGCCTGAGTTTCTTGTTTTTTTTTTTTAAGGAAAGATCTTTGAAATCAATCAGTACACTTTTTTTTTCAAGACAGGAATTCATTATGTACCCAGGTTGACTTTTTAAAATCATTTTTTATTTTCACACCAGTACTGGGGCTTGAACTCAGGACCTGGGCAGTGTCCCTGAGCTTTATTTTTTTTTGTTCAGGGCTAGTGCTCTGTCATTTAAGCCACTGCACCACTTCTGGTTTTCTGGTGACTAACTGGAGGTAAGAGTCTCACAGATTTCCTTTCTGGCCTGGTTTCCAGTTTTGATCCTCATATCTCAGCCTCCTGAGTAGCTAAGACTATAGGCATCCAGCTTACAGGCTGACTTTGAATTCAAGGCTTTAGCCTCCCAAGTGCTAGTGTGTGACACCAGCCCTGCTCCACCCTTCTTAAAAGTAGTAGTATATGCAACACAATGTAGTGTTGCAAACCTGTCATTTTTAGTGCTCAAGAGGCTGAGGCTGAAGAATCCTGAGTTTAAGGACAGACTGTCTCAAGGGAAAACCCCCCACAAAACAATAGTGGCATATATGTGCAGTACTTTAGCTAGTGCATGTGGTACCTTAGCTAGAGCATGTAGTAAGCTAAAAGCAGAATCAGCCTAATGCCTTTCAATATGTATTGGACATGATATAAATGTTACGTGTATTTGGAATTTGTTTTAGTATGTGATCATGTCTTATGGCTTAATTTTGGCTCTGGCATTCAGGAGCACTGCACTTTTGCATGGTGAGGTAGTAACAAGGAGGCTCATTATTGCATATTGGAGGGAACAGTTATCAAGGATGATAGAATGATTGAACTCAGTCTCTCCTACCTAATTCCCTTTCTCTCTTGAAATTGTGGACTCCCATGTGAATGCATGTGAATAAATACATTAGCATTTATAATTTTCATTTATTGATTTAAAATATGTGGGATGGGATGGTATAAGACACTATTTTCCCTTTAACTTGCTGATCCTAAGTTGTTGAATTTCCAAAAGAGTATCTGTAAGTGGCAAATGAAATGACATAGTCAGATCACAAAGAATCCAAGTTGGATCGACCTGATTTTGTATCTGTGCCTGTTGGAATTGATATATTCATGTAATAGGCAAACACTGCATCAAAGGAAATTCCAAACATTTGGTGTCTAGGGGTATAGCTCAGTGGTTGAGAGTTTGTTCCATATGCGCAAGGACTTTGGTTTGATCCCTAGCACTGAAGGGAAGGGAGGTCATTTTCTAGATAGGAAGTATTCCCACCTACCAACAAATCTTCTTCAAGACTTGTATTTAAGCTTCTTTTTAATAATGGCTGTAAGCAGACAGTACATTTCAGTCTTGACAGTGATGCTTGTTGGCAGAATGGGAACTCAGGTTGTAGATACATCTCCTTAGTAGCTGGGCATCAGGCCCAGTTTCAGCTCACAGTTCTCAGAGTTCTTCTTCTATTTCACTGCCCTATGTTTTAGAAATCTGAGTGACTGCCACTTTTATATAATAACCTCATTGGTAGGATATTTGTAATGGCTACTGTGGATAACGAGAGAGGAAGAAGACACAGCTCCTGCTTTTATTCATAGAACGTTTGCTGGAAAGATCATCCTAGCTTTGGTATGCCACTGCTAATTGATTGATCACACTCTATCCCTGTGGATCCGTGTGACTGATTAGAAAGATTCTGCTGTTGGGGCATGGTAGGGCTGTGTTAAGACAGATTCATTTTACTTTCAGGCTGGAAAAAGATATGTAAATGTAATGTGCTACTATTCATCTTTATTGTTTCTCTTTTTCTGTATTTCTTTTTCTGGTTCATCTTGGGGCTTGGGCACTGTCCCTTAGGTCCTTTGCTCAAGGCTAGTGCTCTACTCTTTTGAGCCACAGTGCCATTTCTGATTTTCTGGTGGTTAATTGGAGATAAGACTTTCCTTCCTGGGCTGGGTTTGAACTGTGATCCTCAGATCTCAGCCTCCTGAGTAGTTAGGATTAAGGTATGAGCTACCAGTACCCAGCTATTTTTTAATTTCTTTAGGGCCAGATCTTGCTATATAGGCCAGGCTGACCTTGAACTTCTGATCATCCTACCTGGTTCTGGGATTGCAGATGGCAGCTATCACACCTGACAGTCATTTAATTAACTGGAAAAAAAATATAATAGTGTGCTGCTTTGGAGCACACTGTCGAAGTGACCATGGAAGTTTCTTTATTTCTTTTTTTTTCTGTCTGTCATGGGGCTTGAACTCTGAGCCTGGGCACTGTCCCTCAGCTCTTCAGCTGAAAGCTGACACTCTACCACTTGAACCACAGTGCCACTTCCAGCCTTTTCTGTTTATGTGGTGCTGAGGGACAGAACCTAGAGCCTCATGCATGGGAAGCAAGCACTCTACCACTGAGCCACCTTCCAGCCCCTGATGAACATGGAAGTTTCTAAGTATTGTTTTTATTTGTTTGTTTGTTTTATGCTGGTACTGGGTCTGACTCAGGGCTTGAGCCTCTTAGTCCTAAAGCCTCTTATCTCTTTCTCTTGCTACAAAGAAATAATTATTCTGTAAAAATACCAAAGTGGGTGCCCGGTAATCCTAGCTACTCAGGAAGCTGAGATTTGAGGATCAAGGTTTGAAGCCATCCTGGGCAGGTAAGCCCTTGAGATGCTTTTCTCTAATTTACTACCCAAAAAGCTGGAAGTGGAACTGTGCTAGCCTTGAGCACAAAAGCTCAAGGAAGAATTTTCAAGCCCAAGTCTTGATTTCAAGCCCCAACCCCAACCACCCCCCCAAAAAAAGAAAAGAGTCACAGACTTCCTGCCTGTGCTACCTTGGAACCATGACCCTCAGATCTCAGCCTCCTGAGTAACTAGGATTACAGGTGTGAGCCACCTGTGCTTAAGAGTGACCATGGAAGTTTTAGTGATTTATTCTAATAGTACTGAAGTGATCATAAAAAGCAATAGTACTCTAAAGGACTATGACCATGAAAATACCATTATATAAACAAAAGTTACAAATTCAAATGTGTTACGTCTCAGGCAGGTAGTATGAATGAGTAAAATGAGTTAGGTGAGAACATATAGGATATAGTAGAGTCTGTAATATATTGGAGAACTCATTCTCTTACTTAAATGAGGCGTTTACTACTAGTTAGTTTGTTATTATTTAGCCTGCAAGCATAGTATGATGAGTCTTCTTAGTTTTCAGTAAATGATGACCTCTGATAGAGAAGATGGGCAGGCTTTATGAGATTTAATCATTGCCTCACAGATTTTTTTCCTTTATCCCACTCTGCCAACTATTATCCTTATACCTGAGTGTGCTAAGTGATTGAAAGACGAATGAGAGAGAGAGAGAGAGAAGACAGCTTTAAATATATAATTCTGGAGATAGTTTCAGAATCCCCACAGAGGGAGGAGATGACATGGCGGAGTTTTGATTAACTGGTTATCTGATAAGCAGCTTTGGAAGAATTTTCTAGTTGTACCCTGTTGGGTTACCAGCTTTTTTCCTGGTTTGGTATTCTCTTTAATATAGTAAGTTTTTATTAGTTCAGTAATTCTTGCTCACTCACAACAAACCACAAAACTATGGTGTGTTTTGGGCATCTCTGCAAGTGTTATATCTTTGCATCTTTAGCACATTTCTGAGTTATTCAAGGAATTGAGTGAATTAAAAAC